CGCCACCTCTCTCGCCTATCCGCACCGCGCTGCTCCATGCTATTCACGCTACTCCGACGCGTGCCCACTCCGCACCATAGTCCCATGCCACATTTTCGTTCGCGTGTGCCGCTCGTGACCACGTCGTGCCGCCGTAGCTCTCATGATCTTCGAGGCATTGTCGTCGACGCATTTTCTACACCGTGTTGTTCCTTTCTTTCCTATGTCGGATCGTCGCGTGTCACAGGTAGCAAAGCCCATCGATCTTTTCTTATCTAAAATGCTTTGCTTCAATTAGGTTTTTCGCTTCTCTAGATATTATATTGCTTATACATATCTCTATCTATTCTATCGTGCAGCGAGTCGGTTGGCAGTTTGACAGTGTCAGTTACTCGGGGCCAAGCTCGCGAGTTTGGATTGAGGCCAAGCCTCTCGAGTGTCTATGGCAGTGTGTCAGGGGGAACTCTATTGTAGCTGTTGCTTTTTGACAGTAGTTCTTGTTAGCGATGGCTCGTGTCAAGAATGTTGGTGGCAGTCCAGGTGGTGATGATGTTGACAGACCACCACCTCCTCCTTCAGATCGTGGCAAGGGTAAGCAGAAGGTCCTCGCCACCAAGAAATGCAAGCTAGTTGACAAGGAGGCAGAGAAGGCAGAGAGAGTGGCTCGCATGCTTGACAGAGTTGAGCAGGATGACAGGCGTGCATGTGCTCTATGGATTGGCGACAGTCCAAGGTCAGCAGCCAGAGCAGCTAGGGCCACTCCTGCACCCTGAGGTAGTGTCGTGATTGAGGGCCGATGTGTTTCATTGGATGATACTTCAGAGACTCTTCTAGCTGAGGGAGAGGAAGAGCAGCAATAGACAGAGATAGAGACTGCTGAGCAGTCAGAGCAGCCACAGGAGCAGGGTCTCAGAAGGTCGTCTTGCTCTCGTACCACTGTGTCACCTCGACCTGAGGTACAGAGGAGAGGTGCTCGAGCTCCACCTAGACCACGAGGTCCACCGCCCGTGATTCACCTTGATCTGAGGTCTGCCACAGCGAAGCGGGTGCAAGAGCTTTGTTTTGTTGAGTTTGCACAGTGGTTCCCACCTCAGCGGGACCCCAGAGCTTCAGAGGGTTTCTACACACCTCTCCAAGAGGATTTTTATAATGCATATATCAACAATGGAGCTTTCATTCGACCTCACCGAGTTTGTTCACTGACGGCGATAATTGCTACTGGAGGAGAGCAGGTCCGCTAGTACCTCACCTACCTGTCTGGCCTAGCAGATCTTCTTGGGCAGACCGGCACTTACGTCGAGTTATGGGTCAGAGAGTTCTATGTCTCACTTTGGATCGACCCTGATCACCTATTCATTCACTTTACCTTCAGAGGTGTTGATCACAGACTCTACAGCAATAGGGCCAGAGAGATCCTCAGATTGACAGAGTCAGCCACTCGTCTGCACTATGTCTGTTACCGTGACACTGGGCCACCTCGACGCCCTCACGGTGGAGAGGTACCTCCTACAGACTTTGTACGACCGTGCTTCAGAGAGCCATTCGGAGAGGGCTCGAGCCGCACACCGCGTGATCTTACGCCGACGGCCCGTCTTCTGAACGAAGTGATGAGGACTCTACTTCCCAGGATTGGATACAGAGAGGGTCTGACTCGCATACAGCTATGGCTTGTCTCCTACCTTATCTCTCAGACAGAGTTTGATGTCTGGGATATGATAGTTTCAGAGATGGAGGACACTATAGCAGAGGGCTTCAAGGGCCATCATCAGCTCCCGTTTGCTCATTGGATTTGCTTTCTCTTGATGAGAGCTATCGATAGGATGGCACCTGAGTCTGCTTCAGCCATGAAGAACTCATCTATAGCCTTTCCTAAGTATGATATGCGCCAGTTGATGGGTCAGCGAAGCGGGAACAGGACCGCTAGACAGCAACACCAGAGATCCCTAGTTCCCGAGTCAGTTGAGGAGTAGGACGAGGCTATCAGGGGCCTTGTTGAGACAGAGCTTGTAGACCTTGAGGCTCAGCAGGATGACCTAGTACCTAATGACCTCCCGTCTAACAGTACAGATGAGGACTACGAGCCGCTCCCATGCATGCCCCCACGGGCACATGACTCTAAGGCTGGAGGGTCTAGGTTGGCTCCACAGGCACCACAGACGGATCCTACTTTGCTTGCCATACTAGATTGGATGCAGCGATAGCAGGAGAGGCAGGCAGAGGAGCAGCAATGACAGGCCGCATCACAGGCAGCAGCTCAGGCTTAGATGCAGCTTAGACAGGATCAGCTCCAGGCCCAGCTCGTAGCTTTCCAGCAGACCACCTTTGGTTTCATGGAGCACATACTTTTGGCCACTGGTGCACCACCCTACAGACCTCCACAGCTTTAGACACCTGGTTTGGTCGCTACTACCACTGTCTCGACTCTAGTTTTTCAGTCCAGTGGACTTCAGAGTCAGGGACAATTTGCCTCGCCCTCTACTCAGGTCTCTCAGTGGTTTGCTACACCAGGCGTTGGGCAGGCACCGCAGTTCTCACCTATCGTCACAAGCTTCACTCCTTCAGTGACATTAGTCGAGACTTCATGAGATCTGTTTGCTACGTTCAGTGAGCTTACGGGTCACCCCACACCTCCACACCTACAGGGGACCATGACTACCTTGACAGATCCAGTGATTGTGACAGTCGGCACGCTACCTTCTTCAGTTGCCAGTTTCGAGCCGCCTCAGCTTGAGAGCCAGTCACCTCCAGCTTCTACACTTCTAGAGGCCATTCAGACAGATTTTGTGGTAGCTACTCCTGTGTCAGAGGCACAACCGGCAGGTCTAGCTTTAGAGGCACCTGTGCAAACCTAGACCGTTTCACCTTCACCTGCAGTTCCAGAGGGGCAGTCAGCACAGAGCTCAGACTCAGACGTGGACCTATCCTAGTTTGAGATCTCTCCACGCACGCCTCAGGCTGGCTCGTCTGCTCCAGCCCCACCTTTAGACCCTTAGGTTTTGGTGCTTGATGCCAAAGGGGGAGAGGACGAGTATGTTAGAGTTAGGGGGAGTTTGTGAGGTGGATTCGTTCTTTTGTGTGATATACACTTCATGCAACTTTTCATGCATCGAGACTTTGTGAAATGTGTGCTCTCTACTTTTTATATATATATGTCATGTCACTCACTTTATGCTCTTGATTATTATGCTTCCGCATTTCACTCCAATTAATTGTGAGCACAATGTTTAGTACTCGTGCTTATTTCATATCCTTTGAGTACCTATATGTAGCTTGGTTCGCATAAGCATGCCTAACCCTTTATTCTTATTGTCTCATGCTTATACGAACCAAGTATGTTGAAAACCTCATCCATCTATCTTATACACATACTCGAGGTTGTTGTCATCAATCACCAAAAAAGGGGAGATTGAAAGCATCTAGGCCCCTAGTAGTTTCGGTGATTAATGATAACTTAAGATTATTGTGACTAACATGTGTTTTGCATAGGCAAATTGAGTTAGGTCATGATAATGGTGATTGATTGGGCAATCAATGATGTTCATGCCCCTGTCAATGGAATCGTTTCGGTTTTCAAAGGATGATTGACAAGGTTAAGGACGATCTAGTTCTAAGTGCCGTTTGGTGTTGAGAGGCACTTAGAGTAGATTAGGACTTTGTTTTTTTCCTTTGACCATACTATAAAGGGGGTATGAGCGGGGTAGCTTGACCTAGATGAGTCTAATGATTTAGGTGTGGTGCACACTTGATAAAACATAGCACTAGGTAGCTCAGGGATGCCCTAAAGATCATATAGAACATCTTTCATTCACAAAGAAATTTGATTTGAAAGTGAATGGAGTGTTTTACAGTCCACCGGACGCTGGTGTCCTAATGACCGGACGCGTCCGGTCAGTACAACAAGGCCAGGTTAAGGCATCGGACGTTGTGCCAGAGCGAACCGGACGCGACTGTAAGTAGGTGTTGCTCTCCAAAGAGCACCGGACCCTGCATCGGACGCGTCCGAGGGCAGAGTCTGTCGTTACACAGTAAGGTTCCAGAGAGTGTTTTTCGTACCGGACGCAGTGCAGAGTCCGGTTGTTACACAGAGAGGTTCCAGAGAGTGAAATCGTTGACCGGACGCGTCCGGTCAGTGTTGATCGGACGCGTGTCAGAGTCCGGTCAGAGTTGTTGAGTTGACGTCATGTAGCCGTTGGCTACTGATCGGACGCGTCTGGTCAACCCGACAGACGCGTCCGGTCGTCACTTAATAGGCTGTTTTGAACCTCAACGGGTATGTTTGGCTGTGAGGGGTATTTATACTTCTCCTACTATTCCAAATACTTCTCTTGCTCATTTGATCAGCTGAAGAACACCTTTGAGTCCAAGGGAGAGCAAGTGCCTAGTGAGAAAGTTTGTGATTTGATAATCTCAAGATTAAGGACCTCATTAGAGTTTTGAGAGTAGTAAGTGTGCATTCACTCATCTCATTAGGCTTGGTTGGGTCAAGTGAGAGTTCGTGCTTGTTACTCTTGATGATCGGCATCACCTAGACGGTTTGATGGTGATTGGGAGTGTGGTGATCATCCGTTGAAGGTTGTGGATGATCCAACTCAACTTGTCAACGGTTGTGGGCGATTCACCGAGCCAGAGTGGCAAAAAATCAGCCCGTAGAGAGCACTTGATCCTTGCGTGGATCAAGGGGGAGCCATACCCTTGTGCGAGTGCTCCAACGAGGACTAGTGGAGAGTGCCTACTCTCTGATACCTCGGCAAAACGTCACCATGTTACTTTCCTCCTTTACTTTGTGCATTTACTTTGAGCAATTCATTTTTTGTCATTTACATTCATAGAATTGACTTGCTAGTATAGGATTGGAACTAGGTTGCAAAACTCTTTTGTGCCGTAGAACAATAGTATATACTTTTAGGCACTAGGGGTGAAGTGGACTTTGCTTAGGACTTAATCATTGCAAGAATTTTTAGAAAAGCCCAATTCAAACCCCCCCTCTTGGACATCTTGATCCTTTCAATACATATGAGGAATCAATTTAGAGAATATTCCAAAGACGACCAAGTCACCTTCACCAAGACTAAAGCGGACTCCATCTTTATTTGCTCACTGGAACATCCATGATTGGTCGCTTCGAAGGAACGGCAATGTTCAGTGCAACAGTCAGACCCAAAGCCTACCTTGAACTTCAAATCCATACACTTCCCTTTCCTAACAGCAAGCACATGCCTCCTCAACCCAAGTGACTTGCCAATCACACCATCAAAGAGCCGAATTTCCTCATGCAGCCCACTGGTAAAACAGCTGAGAAGCAAATCAAAGCTACTCTGCACTTCTGATATGACAACTTCTACAGTCGCCTCAAATGCATAATCAATGCACATTTGAGTTATGTCAATTGCGCCACAATCTCCATGAATGCGATTCGTCCATGGGTTACTTGATGTCAGTAGTTCATCAACGATAGATACACCATCAATCAGCTGTAGATCACCTTTCTCCTGTTCTCCTGTCTTGATCCTCATGTCATATTCAATTAAAACATTGCAAGACAATTCAATCCCTCGTTTAGGGCCAGTCGTTTCAATGAGGGAGCCCTACAAAAAGATTATTGTTTAGTAGCTCTTTATAGCAAAGTAAAGTGTATCTAAAGCTAAATGCTTCGCTTGTGATGTTGTAGTAATAAAAATATCTAGTTGAAGGGATTATTTTACAGTTGATACCCAAAACGTTTGTCACATATCAAACATAATGTTTATGAAGTGTGTAAGAGTGTCTGTCAGAGAGGAAAGGTTTGTCCCAAGCTATATATGAGTTGATTTTGAATCCCAAATTTCCAACAAATTAATTATGCTAGCTTATTTGAAATGTAAAGGGAAAAGGACTTCCTTGTGATTGGTCAATGGGACCATTCAAGTCATCTCCATATGCACACACTATCAATTTTATGTGGTACTAAGCATAAACCAAAGGATTATAAACTATTCTATTCGATTTTGTTTGGAGCATGTAATACTCACTTGCGCTTCGTTTCATGGTTAATTTTGGTCTGTTCTCATCGTAATCATTCACAATACAGTACTAGATATAATTGTCAACTCATATAACACTAGCGTATTTTAGCTGCCCCTTTTGGGCCCATATGTTATTCATTTCTACTAAAATAGAAACTCTCCATTTTTATGATGAAAATTACATGGCACCACGACCATAGACTAATCTTATTTCAAATAATTAAGGACAATGAGATTGCAAACTGAGCCTACAACTATCACATAAGAGCACAGTTAATACATCTCCACTCTATCCTAACTTCACTAATGTAACAGAGACTAAGTGGCTGTAAGATACCAACAAAAGGTAAGCTCTACTCACATTTGTTCTATGCATGTTATAAACTTGGCCTTTCTATGAAACAAATAAAGTAATTTGAACTAACTACAGACAAGTGTGGAAGTGTAACAGAGACTAAGTGGCTGTAAGATACCAACAAAAGGTAAGCTCTATTCACATTTGTTCTATGCATGTTATAAACTTGGCCTTTCTATGAAACAAATAAAGTAATTTGAACTAACTACAGACAAGTGTGGAAGTGTACCTTCTCCCAGCAGAAATAGGCACAGAATATCTTGATGGTTTGGAGGCCTTGCCAACGTGATATTGAGATGTGACCAGATCTATTTGAAAGCTTATCAAATAAGCTTTCCATCAAGTGCTCATTGACCTCGATCGCACTCCGGATGGCTGAGTTATGGCCTTCCCAATGAAGCACTGTCGAGCTGCCGATGAACCGAAAATTCAACTTTGATGAACTTGCACGTTGAGACACATTTGTACCTACATTCAAATAACGACATGTACATGTGGAACCAAGTGAATTATACCAAAAATCACTATGCAAATATAGGAACGAGCTCACCTTATAAATAATGGTCGTATCCGATGGTGTCATGTCCTCATCATCCTCCCCTTCTTGACAACAAACCTTCCTCGGTTTGGGATTAGCTGAAGGAAACGTTGTTGGTAGTAGCCAACATTGCTCCCCTTCTTGAAATTTAACATGTTTCTTTATAACAAAACTAGGGAAACTCGACATGACAAGATTATAGCAATTGCAATCCTTTGGTTGATCATACTTTTGCACAATATAAGGAGATTTCAAATTTGAACAAATATAGACACGATGCACCATATACTCTCCTTTACAATTATATTTTCCATTAAAATGATATGTACAAGTAGACAACCATGGCAATTTAACACATTTAAGTTTCTCTTCTAAACTACTAAGAGCATATAAAGTATCAAACTCAATATAACCCAAAGTATTTGAAGAATACAATAATTTCTTTTCATCTTTTTCGGTAGCAATGGAAAGCAAATTTTTATGTTCAGCATAAGTAATTGGTTCCAAAGCCAAAGCATCATACTCATTCACTAGTTGTGGCATACGTATAATAAAAGTATTTTCACACAGCTCTTCTTTATCACTAGCATTATTAGAATAATTATTTTGTGACAAAGGCAATTCAGATTTAACATCTAATTCTTTCCTTTCATTAGCAGCTCTATCTCTATTAGTTTGTGCATTTTCAACATGATTTAAAGTTTTACTAGACTCCAAAGTATGTGTGGGAGGTGGTGGTGGTGAAGATGTTGTTGTAGTGGCGGAAGTAACCACTCGCCTTTTTATCACAGTCTCAACCTTCGCAAATGGTTGCTCCACCCTTACTAAAATCTGGTTGAGGTTATCGTCAATGTTGGTATGGTTCTTTTGCTGACATTCCTGCAATTCTTTTTCTGCAAGCATAGCAAGTTGGAACTAACGTTTGAGAGTATAAAATTCTTTATGAAAAACAATATCTTGTATTTCATGCCTCAAACCACCAAAAAAGCGAACAATGGTATCTTCCATGTCCTCTACTATCCCACAACGTATTGCACACTTTTGAAACTCTGTATAATATTCTTGGACAGACATATTGCCCTGCTCTAAGTACTGCAATTTGCTATGTCATTCATGTTTATAAGGAGGAATAAAACGATCACACATAGCTATCTTAAGTTCTTCGCATGTACCAGGTAAAACATCCTGTGCAACTAGCCTATACCACCAAATAATGGCAAAGTCCTTAAACTCACTAGTAGCTTGTCAAACTCTATATTGCTCAGGTACAAGGTGGGCACTAAACTTTTGTTCTACCATTATCTCCCAATTAAGATATCCCTCAGCATCATAATGACCCGAAAAGGATGGTATGGTCAATTTACCTCTCATACCTTGATTATTATAGTCTATATGTGAGGGCTCATTATTCTTCATTCGGTCCATCCTTGCAAACTTCTGGTACATGATTTCCTGCAATTCACTCTTAAACAGAAACTCGTTGTTTGATATTGTTAGAAATCAATATAAATCCCCTATCAACTATTTATGGGTAAGTGGAATCACACTATCACACGTCTTACCAAGTTCTTACAAGGGTCTTACCAACGCAAAGCAGTGGACGGTACAACTGGTGGCTGGTATGTGATACTTGTGAGGGTATGACACCAAGATTGCAAGGGTCTTTTCTGTACCGATCTGAAGTATATGTGGAGCTTGGGAGGTACACAAAAGAACAAATATGTATATGTGGCACACAAGTCAGTGACAGACAACAATATTGAATAAATGTCCAGAGCACTTATCCTAGTTGCTGGCCTATACATGTTCCTATCACCAGTTGTGATAAATAAGAGAGGAAACAAGGATGAAAGGAAACAAGTATCATAGGTAGCAACGGATATGAACAAGGCAAAAGGTACCACAAACAATAGAGCTATTGAGTGTTCCTTATGTGCTTCTTTTCGATATCTTCAATTCTCTTTTACTATTTTTTCTTTTATTTTTTTGTCCAATTTATTTTCTTTATTTTGCTATTTTGATATTTTTTCTCAACAAGGAGCACACAAGAATAAACTACAAAAAAATTGAGCTCAATTGGATAAAAGATGTGGCCTATAGAAAATTAGGAATGTGCTCTAAAAAGCATACCAAAACTTGTGGACCCAGAAACTCGATTTTCCTAATCGAATTTCGCAAATATAATTTTTGCGAACCTAGTAATGCTGGGATCAAATAGATCTAAAATTTTCTAGCGTTCTCCGTAGATATAAAATTTTCCCTGTTTTGAGTTCGGATGCAAAAGTTATGACTGTTTTAAGGAAGCTGCTCGAATGAGGGTTTTAGTGGACACAAGATGCAAACCGATGGTGATACGGAATAGCGGCGGGTGAAGGGATTAACACAAACTAGAAAAGAACACAATCTAAACCAGCAACAAGACTTCAACCTAGGACACAAACTCAACAAAGCGGACTCTAAAACTGAATCATGCAAATGCTATGGCGCGGATGGTTATAGGATAGGAAACAAATATGGCATTGGACTGTGGGATAAAAGCAAAAACACTCGAACTAAGGGTAAGATGCGAACTTGACGGTATACATTAAGCTCTGATTACCACTTGATAGGGACGGGGTTCCCGATCTTCCGTCAGGTTCAAGATAAACAACGATTTGTTCGGAGAGCGACACACCAATTCGGCTTCAGATCACAAATACTCGAACCCTACAACCTTAGCACCACATCTCCTCTGGTTATCAACCGTGTCACAATCCGGTTGACCTCGCCAAGAAGGCTAATCCCTGCTATAAATCGAAGAACACAAGTAAGAACAAGATAAAACGCAACTCAATTGAAGTGACAATTGCAGATGAATGATTAAGTACTCGAAGTTGGGGTCTTGCAAACCGATAATAGCGATTGTTCAATGACAGATTGATCTAAAACAAAACCCAAAACCTAATGTAGGTGGCGGCTACTGATTATATAGCCTAAGGGACGTCCAAGGATCCCTCTTCACGTCCTAAAGGTGTCCCAACATATTACAAGGCCCAACGGCCCAAAAGACGACGACGCAGCGCTGTGACAGATTCTGGACGTCAACTTGTTTCGACGATTTCCGTTGATTCTAATGGAATTTTGATGTGGGACCACTTCCATTGGTTTCCTTATGAAATTATATTTCCATCCATATGTGGATCATCAAAAACGGAGTCCATATGCGACCTGAACGTCCGTTTTACTACACGCTGGTCCTGTAGCCCGAGATGGACTCGAACTCAAGTTGGACTGGGCCTCTGGCTTGGCTTGGACGTCCTTGCTGGCCTCCTAAGGTGGTGGCCAAGGAGGAGGACATCCAAGGGCTTCCTTGGTGGGTTCCCCAAGTCCTTGGGGTGTGCTCCCACTTGGGCCAGGGTCCCAAGGATGAATAACAAGCCCATGACGACAGTGTAGCTCCCGGCAGAAATAGGGACAGAATATCTTGATGGTTTGGAGGCCTTGCCAACGTGATATTGAGATGTGACCAGATCTATTTGAAAGCTTATCAAACAAGCTTTCCATCAAGTGCTCATTGACCTTGATCGCACTCCGGATGGCTGAGTTATGGCCTTCCCAATGAAGCACTGTTGAGCTGCC